AAGACCAAAAAAAAAATTTTTTATGGTCACATGTTCCAATTAAATAAGCTACACTTAAATTTGCATGTGAATGAATTTGTTCTTTAAAAACGTTGCAGAATATTTTTATTTGCGCAACAAGTTTAGGTTATTTCAAAAGGTCAAAATTTTCGAATTTAGAAAATTAATTTCCAAATAAACATATAAATTTCGTAATCCATAAAGTCAATTGTGTTAAAATTCTTGAGGACGACCAAGCTGATATTAAATATCAAATAAACTTAATGGAGTTAACTTATTTTTAAAGCTACCAAGGATGCCGATGATAACGCAGTTACGAAAGATTTGTCACAACTAAATTAGGAGTTCCTAATTATTCCCGATTTTCTATACAAATAGTAACTGAACATATATTACTACTTTCTAATAATTACTAAACGCCAACAAAATCAAAATCCATAGGATGGTATTTTCAATCAGTAATTTACTTGCACTGGTAAATGCACAACCGTAAAAAATCTACTGAGCAATTGTGTAAAGTTAAATAAATCCTACAAAATCTTACCAAATGTTCAGTTGTGAGCCAGACAAGTCGCGGCCATCCCTTGAAATCAATAATTTCACTACCAGACATTAACGGAGTACTAGAATTAGAATAGCTCTGATTGCTTGATGAACGTTTTGGCAGACCTTTATAACATGCATCGGACGTAAGAGCTACCTTCACACCACAACTTCCAAGCAAAAACCCAAGTTGTTGGATACCCGCATCCTGAAAAAAAATCTATATTCATACGTGTGCACTATTGCCTGTATTATAAAATATGATTTAAGTTAAAGTGAGAAAAGATACATTAAAAAAGGCAAAATGACTATTGAGATGAATGTGCGAATGATAAGCAAGGTTTGTTTATCCAGCAAAAAGCATCAATAATAAAAAAATATGACATACGCAAAATGAAAGAAAGAATATACCCGTCTGGTAAGTGGCACTTCGACCGGTACTGGAATAACTCCAGCTAGAATACACCCGTAGAAAGCGACCAAAAATGAAAGAGGTTCCGTATTCGGATAAACCTGGACGAAAAGAATGACGATTTTAAACGAGATCAAATTTTAAGCCTATCACAAATTGTGACATATTCAACATTCATTTTAATGATCACTACTTTGCTAGATTCTCTTATTCATTATAATATATGTATTCTTGGGAACAGATATTTCAGTACTTTGGAAATTTAAATACAGTGCGAAGCTATTCGATTTATGAATTTACTAGAGAACTTACATAGAATATTTATATATTTCAAAAAAAAGACGAATAAAATAAGCCGGCATGATACTCATTACCATTAATTTAAAAGTGCTTACCAAAGCTACTCGATCACCACTTTTACATAAGTGAACTTTTTCTTTGCCAACTACGCCAGAAACAAGCTTCGTTAATAACATATGGGCAACTTTGCTAGCACGACTTAGGAGTTTACCTGAAAATATACAAAAATTCTTGACTGGAAAATTTATATCAAACATTTTTCTTTAAGATATTGTTCAAAATATTTCTCCTATGATACCAATTTTACTAATGAATATTTACAGTATGTAAGTGAGTAAGCTGGGCGAGCAGAATGATCCAGTACAACGGCGGCTACCATCCTTGATTGTGAGGTACCATACTTATGCAATGCGGAATCAATAGAACGTGGTAAACTTGTGGATACAGATGCATGATCACCACGCGCTGGACAGATCATGGAACCTTCTGGACGTGGTGCCAACGGATCAACAACTCTGGCTAATGCTGCAATTTCATATTTTCTCGCATTAGTCATCTTTGTTATTTTAGAAATTTGGATAAATTCTATTAGAAATAGATGTTAAGTAGTGCTACCGAAAATTCTGAATGCGAAACTTCAAAAAGTCCTCCTTTCTTCAAAAAAAAAAAACTAAAGAAACCCATTTCTGAATGCATAACGATTAAAGTTTTGACCCGATTTCATTTTTTTCATTTAAAATGACGAAAATGGAAATTTCCGGAAGTAACCTTCTAATTCCGCATCGTCATCGTTATAGTATTCATGCAATGGTTTTTTCTTCGGTCTCTGGAAACTCATTAACCGGCATTCGTGCAATATGTGTGATTCATAGAAATACTTGAAACATTTCAGATCAGATATTTTGACGACTTTTCGACCCAAACCCAAGTCCGAAATTCTGATAAAAGTATTTAACTTCTGTTCCACAAAATTACATTCATCTTTGAAACGTTTCAATGACAACTTCTTATAAGAATGTAATGGATTGAATTTTCTGATAGCTACCGAAACTCCCTGCGTTAGTATGGTTCGTCCGGAAGGCATATTTCTTCGCCGATGCTTTTTCAAAGAGCGTCGTAACGATCTCAGTACTGCTTCAAATGTTTCGTTCAAGGATTCAATCGATGCTAATTCGGCAGTAGTACCGCCGGTTAGCCTAGCCATGGCGCCCATCGATGAATGACAGGATTTCGAAAACAATACATCGGTAGCATTTTGGATAACAAACAATCCAGGTTTAGTTTCCATAGACATATCAACTTTACCATCATCATCCAAATAGATTTTCGATTCCTCCACACCTTGATCAGCTGATATATTACCACAGTCATCATTTATCATATTTGTTTTGGAGAAATGTTGTAAGTTCATTGGAAACATTGCTATTGCAATGGAATTCCGTAGTAAAGCGACAACACTGATAGATTTTGCAGTATCATTTTTCCGTCTCCAAATATTACTTATGCCGAATCGTCTGGATCTTCTGTTAACAGCATGTGATTTCCATTTTCGAAGGAGATTCTTCCGTATGTTATTAGTTCCATGCACTTTTTTTGAATCTTTGGTCACAAATTTAGATTTGTTACTGAACGGTGATGATAAGTGATATGTGAAATGTAACGGACCGGTGGGTTGCGCGTAAAGTGGGGATGGATGTTGTGGATGAAAAATGTTCATCAGTAGTAAAGACATGCTTATTAGTCAACCAATACTAACATATAACAGCAAACTGAATGCGAGAAAACTTGAAGATATTAGCATTGAAGAATTGAAAGCTTATAACACAATACTAGCTAAGTGGAACATTCGTGTCATCTAATTTCAAAATCGATAATCTAAGAAGAATATACGATTAAAAACAATGCAAATAACTAACTATTCGAAAAGCAACTGAAATGCATTGGGAAGGAGAAAAAAATGACTGATATGAAGCATAAGATCAATATCCTACATAAGTAAAAAAATATGATGTGAAATAAGGATACCACATTTGTTGTTATAGACCTGTAGATAATTTTAAAAAAACCGAAATGATAAAAATAATTTTGTGAAGTTTTTTACTCCTACCTCCATGCTAAATTGCTTTTTCTTCCTTTTTTCTTCTTCAGAAAGTGAAGTAAAAAAGGCTTAGATAAATCCTAAAGAAATTCTTCTTCCTTTCCTCAACACCTCGCACATGTGTTCGAAAATAAGAGATAAAAAATCACTAAATAATTAATGATATTTAACATGTCGAAATCATTTCGCAATGAAATCACTTATCCGATGCAATTGAACTATTTCATATTGTAGTTTGCCTAAATGAAAACATATTTGTTTTTAATCATGTTTCTTTCATAGTATTTCAATAAAGAATTTTATATCATTATAACAGAGTACATAATTTATATACAGTAGTACTATTTAATAAAATCAAAATGAGAAAAAAAGATGAAAAAGAAAGAAAAGAATGAAGAAATTAATAAACTAAATGGAAACATACAAAAGCAAATAAAGCGAAAAAAAAGGAAAGCAAAAGCAAAACCGAAAAGCAAACAAACAAACAAACAAACAAAGAAGAAAATAACAATTAAGGTAAATTATAATTCGTTTATTTTTCATTGTAAATAATTCCACTAACTATAACATCGATAATAACGCTATTCATCTTACTTTTTTTATAATTCATTGTTATATTGCATGTCATCTTTGAAATTTGTGGTAAAATAGCTAAGATTTTTGAATAATAAAAAAAGTTGAAAATTACAATAAATTTTACTGAGCATATACATTAAAATAGCGTTTTTTTACTTTAAATATGTGCATTATATAGTATCACGATATCATTTTAAGATTTTATGGAGATATCTTTCCACTATCAACTTTTCCTAATTAGAAAAAAAAAGGATTTACTGGAGTATATCACTTATCAAAGGAGAAGATCGACAAATGAAAACATAAACTGAAAACTCGGATTTTCACAATTTTATAAATATAAATCGAAATATCAAAAAGATAACTATCATTAATTTTATGTATTAATTTCCTTCTCTTCTTCTTCATAATTAATTTTAACAGATATAGAAGTGATTACTATTTTCAAATTTCAGTGCATTTTGAGAAAAAATATAAGAGTGATATCAAATAATTTGTTTTCAATAATCTTTTTTTCTGAATTAAGAATAAATCAATCAGCAGGATGTAATGGAATTCCGGAAAAACAAAAGAAACCGTGGAAATCATAGTTGATTGATAATAATAACTGAAGATGATAAGTAAATATGACCAACCACACAAAATTTTTTAATACAATAGAATATTTGACGTCATTTAAGCGCAATGAAGGATGGAATCTTTGTGGTCATATTTATAGTTGCAGATTAATTATCGATTATCAAATCTTCGTGTTCGAGTAAATAAAATCCAGTGCATATAATAGCTCAAAATTACAACTTTATATCAGTCAACCATCTACGCGGTGATGTGCCGTGGAAATTTTGGAAATGATTGACTACTCTACACAAAGCAATTTTCCACAGTGTAACATTAATATATGAAAAAATTCAAAATACGTGTTCCATCAGCAATCTCATGGCTTATGCCATAAAACTAAACCTCACCTCGCTATCAGAATTTTCTAACGTGCAAATTTGAGAAAAATATTTAACCAGTTTTCCTTGGGATTAAGTTACGATAAGTTGATATTTAAATTCTTAGACTTCAAAACTAATATCTATCAGCCCCAGTAATACTAGCTGTTCTGTTCAGTGTTAAATTCCCTACAAGTAGAGATGTGGAACTTTTAAAGTCAGTGAAACCGAACGCAATAAGAGATACAGTGGACAAAAGTAATTTAGTATTCCAATAAGATTTGCTAATTTAATAAAACGCAACAAATACATGATAAAGAAAAGTAACACCCTGGAACAGAAGTTAAAAAATAAAATTTGTAACAACTATCTATCCCTTTTTCCATTCTACCCTCCCTTTCGTTTACATTCCATCTTTGACGCTTGAAATTCGTCAAAGTGCACGAAATTATTACTCAGACAACAAAAATGAAATCAAAACATAAACTGACTTACCTGTAATGAATGTACCAATTGTTGAATTTTCAACGAAACTTTGACCGGTTTCAGCGCTGACAATGAGGAAACTAAATTAAAATCTTTTTATCAATGAGAAAATTTCACATACGAAGTTATTTCAATTAAAAAACACATAACGTAGAAACCATCAGTTAATCAGTGCAACATAGACTTTTAGTGATAGTAAAACTGTGTAATGGAAATAAATACAAATAGACTTTAGAAAAGCTTATGTAACACCGGTAAATTAAATACAGACTACTTATAGCAAAATTAATAGATAAAAAGTTGAAGTTACTAAACCTTAAAAAAGACCTGTTTAATTTTAAAAGTTTTAAGAATTTGAAGGTCGAATTTCAAATCATTCACCAACAAAAACCAAAACAAATATGACTCAACACTTACTAAAATACTATCAACATTAAAAGCAATAAACGAACCGCCTTACATGTAAAAGATGCTAAATTAACTTACGTACAACTGCGTTCTGATAATCTTGGTTAGTTATATTTGCTATATTTATGTCACTTTCTGCAACATCATTTGCGTAAATGACACCAGTCTTCAATATAGCTTCCTCTGCACCGGTCACTTTCTTCATGGCATTCCGTTCATTTTCCTTTATAACCTTCCTATCCTTCCAGCCATTATCATCTGTCTTCTGAAAATATGATACGCCTCTACACTAATAATTTATTGAAAATAAGTTGATGTAAATGTTAATACAGTTAAATAATGAAAAAATGTGCTTGAAAGTTTTGTTAAACCTTCAAACTTTGTCAAAATTTAGGGAAGGAAAAAGTAAATATAAAAATAAAATTCCTGAGCATTAAATTAACGAACATTGGGTTTACTCATAGTAATACCACTGAAATAAAAACCTCGAATAACAAAACAGTTTTCATTTCAAACATTTTATAGTCATTAAGTTTAACAAATACATAAAACAAAAGTATCTGGGTATCAAACTACTAATGTATTGTTTGGCATGCAAATATTACTTGTTTTCTTCGATTCCAGAATACCTTTTGCATTGTGACCCCATTTGCCACAGCGGCTGTTATATCAGGAGATAGAGCAAAAGATGAAGCAACTGAAATCATTTCAGAAAGTCATTCAAAAAATCGATCCTTTGTTTAAAAAAATACAAGCCAAAATTTCTGCTGACAGTATTCGTACCAATTTTCGACGAAATAAATAACAGTTATGCCTTAGAAAAAGAGTTATGTTTTCCGCATTTACGTGCATCTAGTAAGAAGGAAAGTGTTGAAAATAAAGGGTTCACCCGAGTTTTGGGAGTCATTGGTTAAACTTTTCTTCCGCTGTTCATTTAACGACAACGTTGATGATGTACCCTTGCTGCGATCAGTACTATCAAACATGCTATCATCTTCGGAACTGCTATCTGCATAACAATTTTACCAAAGCAAATAAGGTAAATTGATCTATTTAATCTAAAATTTCTGGAGTTACTCGAACGATAACAAATCATAACTATATGGAGTTTTCGGTTCAATACTATTTGTATCATGGACAGAAGATCCAAAGGACGTAATTTTTAAATCAAAAAGAAAACTTTTTTTGTGAACCTTCGTAGCATAATAAATGTAGCAAATCTAAAAAAAAAATTGTAGAATTACCAGATGCTCTATGCCTTTCTTGTTTTGTCTCAGTACCACGCCGTTTTACGGGTGGCAGAATGTTGGGCTTTTCTTTTTTCCCTTTAAAATTGGAGCAATGTTATAAGATTTTGAAACAAAGCATTCTTCATTATTTCAATACTCTTTTCCATCTCGTTTTTCTCTTTCAGCTATATTTTACCTAATTCGCTATTAATATCATCAATAGCAAATAAAGAATCAGGGTGATAAAGCAGCAGCACTAATTCTATAAGATATTTCAATTCTTTCAAAATCCTTTATAGCAATTACCTTTACATATTAATTTTTGGCTTTATTCTCTACTAAAATTACAGAAAGAAAGATGATAAAAATAAATGAAAACAAACCTTCAGAATATTCGGCCAATGCTTGCTGCACTGCTTCAGCACGTATTTCTGGAATTTTTTAATTAATAAAAAAAATTATGCGAATACCCAAGAGCCTGATAATAAAAATAAAATCGTTGCATGTCTCGAAAGCTATTCACCAGTCATTCAAGGTGTCATATCTTCTGAGATAACAACATGACTTTGTGTAAGCAATCATAAAATAAGTTCCATATTGCTGTCTATGTATCTACAAGTAAGATAAAAAAAAGGATAAGCCTATAAAAACTGATTGTTGCCTAGAATTAGATACCACTTGAAACCGTACTTGATGAACAAATCCTGCGTTAAAACACGATTTCAAGTAACAGCAACAGTTTTTTTGATGCTAACGATCAAAAAATTTCGACACCTAACTACCCAGAATCTAAGAGTCATCAGCAAATACTCTATCGCATGTATGAAGCTAGAGTAACAAATTTATTGAAATAAACATCATGCAAAACTTCGTCAATTGTATTGCTTATATCATCAAACAATACCAGAATGAAAACGTGATTCATCACGTGTGAGACGCCGCTGGTGTTTCCTTTGTGCTCTTGTACTTGGACTTGAAGTAGCTTTATTACCTGCAAAAAATTCAAACTTTTGGATGTTATTCAGACTTTTAAGTGATTTTTGAACAAATACTATTCTCACTTGTACAATTTTAAACTTATTTACATCTGCTTCATTGTTAACACGTTTTTAGCACATTCTAAACAATGTTGGCTTGCACAAACAAACTTTCTGTCCGTGAAAAATCCTCCTATCTTCTTCATCGCTCTAAAAAAAACCAAACCATACCATCTCTTTTTATTCGTAAATAGGGTTCCAATAATGAGTGTCTTTTTTTATCATATCCTTTTTGCGTGATGTCGCATGAAAAAAAAACAAATGATTATCAAACATTCCGAACAAATCATCAGCAATCGAATTATCAAAGCACAAATCAAATGAACTTATTTAACTGCCAATATAAGCCGTATAAATAAAATAATTCATGCATGGCTTTGTAGAGTATATTGTCAACTGTTTCATAAAAAATTTACCCAAACAGCCGAATGATTTTGTCCATTAGGATAAAATGGCAAAAAAGTGAGCGTCATTAATAAAGATAATAACATTGCTAATTTCCAAACACTTTACCTTCTGATAATTCTAAATCAAGCTGAGCAAGGCGTTCACGCACATCAGACGGAAGACTCAATACATCAATAGCTTCAACCATCACGATAACTTGACGGTTTCAAAGATGTCGACGTCCGCCGCCTGCAATATCATCAACTCGCTAGAGATAACAAATTAAGGAAGAAAAAGAAGTAAAAACGATAATACGGTGAATTGCCAGCGCTTCATTAAAATCTAGTCCCACATATCGTAAACTATGAATGAAAAAAATATGGTATATGTAAAATTGTGTTCAGGGGAAGTAGAAATCTTCACTTTGGGCTAATTTAAAAACAATTTTACTTAGATGAAAATTCAAACTTACGACAGAATAATGTCCTTCCCTAAGGTGTATTTTAAATTAGATGAAAAACTAAAATTATATCCCCGAATCTAATCAGAAATTGTTTTGTCAAAACGGTTCATATCTAAAATAATCCTCTATTAAGAAATCATATCTATATATATATATTTTATGAACCGTATATATATATGTATTTTATGAACTGTATATATATATATATCAATGTAATGTGTCATTTATATTTCTACATTTGTTTAACATAATTAGCTATAACAAAAGTTTAAAAAAAAAAGGTTAACAAAGACAATAAAGAAGAAAGGAAAGGTTGAGAAGGCTTTTCCTGTTTTTGCTCTGTAAATTTGTTGTGTAAATGATTTAAAATGCTATAAATCGTAATAATATAAATTTCCAGATATTTAAATAATATATCAATCGTAAATACTACACAAGAAAGGAGCCGAATAGTCTACTATACCTACGGGAACATCTAAAGTGATCTTAAGTGGAAAAAGGAAGATAAAGCGATCTGAAATTTAAATTGTACTTTTACAAATAAAATCTATTCCAACAACTGGTCTCCTAAACTTAATTTTAATATTTAGATAGAATAAATCCTTGGTATTGTCCTCCACTGAATTATTGTTCTTTTTGAAAAAGGAAGGAACACAAAGGCGAACTTCCCAAATATGTCACACATGTTTTATATCACCTATAATATCGACGTTTAATTCGCCTCAAATAATTTTCCATTCTCGCGATTTCATCCCGATGTTAGGTAAATAAATAAGTTATTGCAATTTATTACACTTCACACATGAGATCATTAATAGTCAACACAAATAAGCATTGCAAACTTGATTTTCATATTCAGTGTAAAAAGATTAATAGCTTTTTTAGTATAACATAGGCACAGACATAGATACTAATGTACCATAGCTAGTTCCAGATGTCTCAGAGAAATATAGGGAAATTCATTAAAGTTTTCATTTAAAACTTCATTCACTTTCTATTCTCCTCATATCAAACAAGCAATAAAAAAATTAGTTGATGAAACTTGAAAGAAAAAAATGAAAACCACAAAAATAAAAAATAGGAATTGCAATATAAGCTCTTTATATTCTTGGAACTAAGTATATACTGAAATTGTTACTGCCATAGTAATAAATGAGAAGTAAAAATAAAGAAGAAAAGTTGAAAGAACTGACTGGCTTAAAATAACGAAAGTGAAATAAAAAATACCTGGAAATTCACCGTCTCATATTCATTTTTGAAAAATTTTTGAAATTATATTCAGATAAAAAATCATTTTGAAATACTCTAGTTTGGCAGCGTTTCAGACTAGAATATTTCAGAAGTTTCATATGGATCAAGGAAGTATTAAATCATTGCTAATACTTTGGCCAAACAAGTACAGACACCTACATATCAAAATTTCCAACATTGCTATTACTTCCCATAATTTTAAATACTCCATACATAGCCACGACGCTATGTATGGAGTATTTAAAATTTTAATAAAGAGGGTTAATAATGGTTTAAAACCAAGGTTAATAATAAAAAAGTCCAGAATAGTTCATCAGCCATACAATCTCAACAACAAGATTGACGCAGTGATATACAAATAGGACTGGTGATCCTGCAAGTATCATCGTTATCATTATCATCGGAAATATGAAACATGAATAACTCATCTATATATATAAGCTTCATGAAAGATGCTTAGCAAGCTGAAGCTGGAATATATGGGATAAAAATAATCTGCCATCGTCAGCATTGAAATTCGTTGATCAACGGAAAATGGAAAAAAACAAACTTTCCAAAGCGATAAATATATAATGCATATTTCTAGGAATATATGTATGTAATGTGTATTTGTGCTTGTAAACTTCAATAATCATTAAAAACAATAAATGTTATAAGCTACAGCGTTTTATGCTCCATTCCTAGCATACACACTAACCAACTTTTTGAAGAAATTATGTAATATGGGATTATTTCAAATTTCAATCACCGTCCTTTATTTTAATTCATTTCATAATTAATAAAAGAAAATTGTAATATTACGAAAAGCTGAATATTACGAAACAGAAAATATATATACGACATGTAACTGTAACTGTCATGCAAATCCAAAGGTAAAGTATAGCACCTGAAAATATACACTAAATAACACGTAATCTAAAAATATCCACCTATCACTCTGCACACGCACATAACACGTAACTCACCATCACACGCCCATCGCCACAGACACGTAGATTTATACGGAAGTGTCACAAAATTAACGCAAGCCAAGCGGTTACGGATCAAGTCGCGAAAAAGAAAGAGGAGACGTGAAAATACAAATGATGGAAATGTGCGTATGAGAGACAGTGCGGGGAAATTTAAGAAGGAAATCACAAAGGAAATTGGGAAAAAGGAGAGAGGAAAATTCTTAGTTAAGTGATCAATTCCTTAGCCAAATACCACTGGATCAAATGGATCACTTGTGATGGGTGAATCGAAAATCGAGAACTGGGAATCAAAAATTGGTCTGTTTCATCTATAGAACTTTATTCCATCAAATCGAACCAATAGTCAAAACGGGGCGCAAGCTAATCGAAACCAAAGATCGAAATTCCACTTCTCTAAACTAAATAATGGAATAATTAATAACTCGTCAATAAACAATAGAAAACGATTGAAAGATTAAAGCTTAGAGAAGGCAATTTTATGGCATTATACGTTCTAAAGGGAGTTGTCGGGGATAGGATGAATAGATGGGAAGAATGGATGGATAGATAGGTGGATGGTTGATTCATAGTGGTCACTCTCTTTCCTTCCTTTCCATCCTCTCCTTCCTTTTCTTCCTTGCATCCTGAAAGTTGCTGGCCATCTCTTTTCTTCTTATTGCTTCTCATCCTGAAATATCTCAACTATTTCTAATTTCTCATTTCATCAATTCGACCTCTGAACTTTCATCGTTTGTTATGCGTGATAGTGCTAATTCCTAAAATGTATCAACTATCGAATGAAATTTTCTACTACTGAAAATTTTCTTGTGTGAGAAAAAATGAAACTGCTGGAAGAAAAAAGGAGGAACAGGAAGAGAGGTAAAGTTTAGGTCAAAAAAAAGGGTAAGAATGAGAAGAGAGAATGATGAAATTATATCTATTTATTGATTTAATGGAAAATCAATCATGAAAGTATTTGATCACAATAATTTCGTCCCACTAAAACAAAAAGGACTATCATATTAACATAATATGTTAATTGTTAATCGAATTACGAAATGGAAAATTTTCCCCTGAAATCGAAAATTTCAGGATTCTGAAAATACATAACAAAATTTATTTCGCGATAAGACGTAATCTGGAATTTTAAAAAATTGAAATTTAAATATGAAAATTATGAACATCAAATACTGTGCATTTAATGGCGTCATTACAATTTTTTACCTTTCCAAGGTCTATGAATAAATTAACTGATACATACAATAATCGACCACACACTTATACCGAAACAATTACACAATAATGATTTGTTAGATACTGAAAATATCTAACGATCAAAATTAAATTAAAAAAAAGAATAAAACCATGAAAATATAGCATCATCAAGCATTGTTTACTAATTGATAAACCACTAACTTACTTTAATGATAGTTTTAAAGATGAAAAATTAATATTATGATTTACTAATTCATCATTATCATCATCGACAGAAACAGCTATCCTTATCACTGAATAATCATTTGAATCGCTTATCAACGATGCAATTGGTAATCATTTTTTTTTATAGTCATTTAACTAACCATTAAGAAATATTAGTAATAATTATTATGCGCTTTGTTAATAATTAATCAAAATAATAATGCTCAATGATTAACAAATAATTACTATTTTTAAGACAATATGATAAACATAAGTTAACATAATATAAAATCAGTTTGATTCGAAGAATTCATTCAACAAATTGTTACTATTAGTTATCGATTTTGCGATTTATGGTAATTTATGCCTTTTTCGTCATTGCTAACTAAAAATAAAATTATCGTCACATCTAACTTCCCTTTCTTCACTTTCCTCTTCTCATCATCGATCACCACCCCGCTATTCCTATTCCGCTTACTACCCTCTTCTCATCATCCATTACCGCCCCGCTATTCTATTCCGCCTGCCACAGTATTTTCATATTCTCTTATACCATAAACAATTTAGCATTATTGACATCAATGACGCAAATTAGCTAATTGGCTAGCAAATATCAGCGAATGCATTGAAATATTACAATTGCATACATTACTATATAACACATTGCACAGGCATAATATACGCAATGAAATTCGTCAACAATTGAGAATATTTGAAATTAATTCATTTTTTAAAAACAAAAGAAAAGAGCAAATGCAACCGAAAGTTTTTATATGTTTCTTATTGATTGAATTTCTCATTTTTAAAAATTAGGAAATCAATAAGATAATTTAAACATTCTACAATATTCAAATTGGAAATATATTTTAGTGCAGCGAAGAAGCAAATAATTTCATTTGATTTTAACTTTATCGTCTAAAAATATTTTCTTCTTCTCCTTCTTCTTCTTCTTCTACATTCATTATATTGTTGTAACAATTCTTCTACTCTCTAATAGTTCACTCTTACCTATGAGTTCATCACAAAAAAGGAATTTAAAATTTTTAATTCATTATGAAATCTTTGAAATTATCTTGAGGCCACACTGTCCAATAAATTTTAAGCAAAAATTTCATATTGAAAAAT